AACTAACGTAGTTTCTAAAGTAGATTCATATACATCATCTTATTTAGTCCAAAGAAAAATCCCAAAGGTAGACACTGTTATTTCCATTCTATAGATTAAAATATTCAGATTCCGAGACATTATGACATTTACACGAATTCACACAGCTACTTAAGTAACAGAGTTAGATCTCAAAACCATTTATGAACTATTTAGTGTACTGCTTGTTCCAAGTATATCACGCTGCTGAGTAAAATTAGGACTATTGGAAGTGCCTTTTAATAACAAACTCACTTAATTCTCCAACCAAACTAATCAGTCACTTAATCAACAATTGTGTGTTAAGTGCCAGTTATGTTCAAGCATTTTCATAGGATGGTAGGTAAAAGATATCTAGCCTGTTCTCTGATTGCTAATACAGAAGACCATATATATATAAATAGGTGCCACAATGGGGGAAGAGGAAATAAAATATTGCTAAGGGCTTTTCATTTATTGGGTCCTATGATAATGAGGTAAGTCTTATCATCATTATAATTAAGTCCTGGAGAGGTTAAGAGCCTCGCCCAAAGTCACACAACCAGTAGGTTTCGGGGTTGGGATTTGACCCTGGGTCTGTAAAGATTCCAAAGCCCATGTTATTACAGTTAAAGTATGGTGGGGGGATCCATGAATGTGACAGGGATTCAGCAGAGAGTGATCATTTCCCTCCAAGGAGTCGGGGAAGGCTTGATAGAGGAGATGGAGTTAGATCTGGGTGGGATTTGGATAGGGAGAGAAAATATGGGGATGGGGAAGGGAAGATAGCTTGGTAAGTGACCCAACCTGTGAGTGAGGGATGGTGAGGGGGCCAGCTCTGTTGATGGGGGTGGTTTATGCAGGGGAGCATGGGGACGTTTGCTCCATGCCTCTAGTCTTCCAAGGAGGACAGTCTAGAAATGCTAGCTGCCTGCCTGACACCCTCTCCTCACTCCATATGTGTGAGCACATTTTTCAGAGCACCTGCACCTGGGTCTGTGCTGTCCCAGATGCTGTGAACTGGGAGAGAAGTTCTGTCCTGCCCTATGCTCAGGCTTATACCCTTTCATGTACATTTGGATCAGAAATCTGAACTGGCATTTGTGTGAACACCGATGACAGCCAGTACCCAGCAAAGAGGCACTTAATTTAATTGCTCCTTCAGGATCCATTTAGAATAATCACTGTGAAAATTTCTCCCAAGTGTCTCCCACAGGCAGTGACAAACTTTGCTAAAGATGAGCCACAAAATTTTGGCAAGATCAGCTTAAATGGGGGAAGAAAGCTTCATCCTGCCCAGACCAATCTTATCTCAGATATTGCATACTGCCTCAATGTCACCATATTATCAACCTCAGTTTTGGTTGACAGAGAAAGGATGGATATACATAAAGTCTATTATTTCCACAAAGGTGAAAGAATTTTTCAAGGTAATTAGGAGTATTGTGAAGATAGTTCATTGAATAGAGTGATATAAAAGAATGAGAAAAATTCTACTTATAACTGTAAGTCTGCTTAATTTGGATCATTAGCTGTATAAAAGACCTATCATTTTTTGTTTAGCTAACTCAGAGTCAGTAACATTTGTGGATTTCTCACTGTGTATTACTACTGTCTGATCAGTAAATGAAATAATAGAGTCAATAGGATGCCAAAACTGGCTGAGAGTTTAGGGTTTGCATTCCACAATTCAATCATATAAATTCTTAGTTGATTTTACTCTTTTGGACTTTTCTTTGACCTTTGATGAGGTTTAATTTAGGGGGGAAACTAACAAATTACAAAGCAAAGAATTCTAGGCTGGAATGCAGAAGCCCTGGGGCTGGATACCAGCTTTGTCACTAATACTCTGTGTGACTGGGGTAAGTCACTTAGATGCCCTGTGACTTTACAATAAATAGGTTGGACTAGGTCATTTTCAAAGTACCTTTCAGATTTAAACCCGGACATATAAGATTTTGGCAATTTTATTATTTTTAGCTTTTGTTCTTAAAATATGTTTACAATAGGAATATTTACCTTTATATATAGTAAAAGGACATTGGATTAATTATATGATGTCTGTGAAATTCCTCAAATCCCTTCAGAGATAAAAACAATGGAAGTAGTCAACTTCTCCATTATTAATTACATACTTTAAAACAGTAATAATTCTCCATTTGTGATGTTATGAACAATAAATTGGTACTAAGATAAAACTTCACTAGAGTAAATTGTCTTCCACAGAAAATTCAACCTAAAGTTTTTCTTTAGTAAAAACTCAATGAAATGAACTTTTTAATTTCAGAGATTTTGAGGACACCTCATACTGTTTCTTTAAAGTGATTAATTCATCCAAGATGCATTTTGATTTTCTCTGAAACTTGAGCGCAAAAGTGTCTGGTAAGTGTGGAAAATAACCGCTGTTTAAATGTCCTATCACCTTGCACGTGGGGAGGCGTGTTGTCTGAATGCAGTATGTTTTTAAACTTGGCAATAGGTAACTGAAATCTTCTTTCCTTCACATCTTTGGTAATAATCTTGTGATGCTTGATGGGAATTAAAGCCAATGCCCTATGAACCTATGGAGAGAAAAGTCTGTGTTATTTTCAGAAAAGGAAATGACTGGCTGAGGTCCAACAGAGATTTCATGGTCGTTCTCACAGAAAGAGTCTTGGCACCTGACTCTTTGATATCCTTGTTGACCAACTGGGTGAGGAGACTGTCTACCTGCCCTCAAAACTGCAGTGAGAGGGTAATTATCTGAGGGATAATTCACTCCCTGCATGTGAATTGATTTGTTGACACTTCCTTGTGCTCAGCATCTGTTCAAACCTTCCATTTACGTTGCAGTTTATTTATATTTTCTATCCTCACTCTGGAGCTGAGTTAAGAGAAAGACTCAGTTTAAGATTTCCCTTAGAGTAGCTTCCCTTGTTGCTCCAGTAATGCTATATGATAGACCTGCACACTACTGCTCAGGGTTTGATGATGGACGTGTCTGTCTCCTCCTAGGTGTGGCCGCAGCATTATGAATCTCTGGTTTGTAGTCTATACTGTGGAGTGGACTGTGAGTGATGACTGGTGGCATCACGTGGTTAGAATCCTAGGGAGGACATGAGCGGGATGGGCAGAAACCCTACGTGGAGACATCCATGGGGAAAATCCTACTCTGTTCCTTTCATCCTGTCTCAGCTTCTCAGCCTCACAGTGGTCCCTGGAGTTAAACAGGAATCACTTACCAGATTGTGGTGAGGAGCCAATAAAGTTACAGAGGAGCAAATAAGGTCTGCAGATACCCAACTCAAACTGCACAAGCAATACTCACTATTTTTGTCCCAAACAAAAGGGAAATAAGCTAGAGCATATTTGTTTATTATATTCACTGAAGTGACTGAGCTGACCTGACACCTTGTTGCCTGAAAGATAGAGATGGAACTCCATCGCTTGCATCAGCTCTGGTCACACTCCAACTTACACAGCCTATTGCTCTGAGTCAGAGGAATCTGATGCTTTTCTCTTCAAGAACAGTCTTCACCTTGTAAAACGGTGATATGACCCAATCGTAGACGATGTTTAGTCATTCTGCATAAACCTTTTAATGCTTCAGCGGTAAATACATTTATTGCAGTTTGAGAAAAAAAAAAATTCTTAATTGAAAATGAGCATCTTCTTTGAATGAATAAAGAATTGAAAAGAAGGAAAAAGCAAATGTGGTACCATGCTGATGTTATGTTAAATAATACACAAAGACCACTATCTTGAGAATAGAAAGCACTCTGCTTTTATTTGTACTAGACTGTTTTTTAGCATTATTTCAACAAACATATTTGAGGGCCCACCTGTTCCATGCCAGGCACAGGGCTGGGTGCCAAGAAGAGATGCCCAGACATGAATGAGGCAAACATACCAACCTTAGGGGAGACAGTTGGGTACCATGATCATGATGTGACGTGTAATGGGTTCTAGGATAGAAGTCAGTACAGAATCCTGTGGAGGCACAAAGGAGAGAGTGGTCCTGTCTCTCTAGGGAAGGGAAGTTAGAAAAAGAGGGGGCTGACGATCAACCTGGTTCTTGAGAAGGAGGGCATTCCAGGCTGAGGGGCTGCGAGAACAAAACCACGAAACCCTGGTGTGGCTCGTCTGTTGGCCAGACGGGGAGTTCTGGGCGTGTCTGGAGCTCTGGCTTTGAGGGGTAAGACAAGTGGGAAGACATTGGCCGGAGAGGAGGTGGATCCAGGACCAGCAGCTGGAAGCCTCTGTTCTGTCAGCTGTGGGGAGCCACGGAAGAGTTGTCAGGAGAGTTACATGATAGATCTGCCTTTTAGAAAAGTTGTTAAATGGGAAAATCAGAAAACACAGAGCAGCTAAAACAAGACAATGAAATAATCTATAATCCATCCCCAAATTCTGGTCTGTCACGCTTCAGTTGTTTTTCCACAGGTACATAAGCAAACATGCTTTTTTTTTTTTTAACTCAAAATGAAATCCTATCGTACACACTACTTTTGAACTTTTTTTGTTCTGTTTTCATAACCAACAGTCAAACACTTCTAAAGCATAATTTTCGTAAGTACACAGCATTATATTATATCAATATATCATAATATTCTCACCTTTAAGGGTATAGGTTGCCTATAAATTTTCACTATGATAAATAATGCTGTGATGACACCTTGAAGATGCTCTTAATTATTTCCTTAGGATAAATTCCTAGAAGTGAAAGTTCTGGCTCAAATGGAATATGAATTTTAAAAGGCCTGCACCTTGGCACCCATGCTAATAGTAGTCAATATCATGCTTTTCTAACTTTGCCAAATTCTAACTTTGGCTGATAGAGTGGATCATTGATTTAACTTGCACTTCTTTGACAGAGGTTGAGGATGCTTCATGAGTTTAACTGGCCATTTGTACCTTCTTTTTATGAACTGAACATTCATTCCCTTTTCTTATTGTCATATTTGTGTGTTTATCTTGATTATAAGTCCTAGTGCATCTATATAATATTGCTGGTGCCATGATGTCAGGAATGAATGAAACATGGTAGCAGCTTTCCTTAAGACACCTCTCGTTTCTCTCTCTAGCCCTGAAATCACATGAAGCTGTGGGTGGAGATTCACCTGATAGTCCTAGAAACCCCTCTCAGCCCGAGGGCCATGAGTAACCAGACTCTGGTAACAGAATTTATCCTGCAGGGCTTTTCAGAGCACCCAGAATACCACATGATCTTGTTCAGCTGTTTCCTCCCCCTCTACCCTGTGGCCCTCATAGGTAATATCCTCATCATTTTGGCCATCACCTTCAATCCCGGGCTGCACACCCCCATGTACTTTTTTCTCTTCAACTTGGCTACTATGGACATCATTTGCGCCTCCTCCATCATGCCCAAAGCACTGGAGGGTCTGGTATTGGAGGAGAGCTCCATCTCCTATGGGGGCTGCATGGTCCAGCTTTATTTCCTCACATGGGCTGCATCCTCTGAGCTGCTCCTCCTCACAGTCATGGCCTATGACAGGTATGCAGCTATCTGCCACCCCCTGCGTTACAGCACCATAATGAGCAAGACATTCTGCAGCATGCTGGCTGCAGGTGTGTGGATTCTCTGTGCCTTCAACACGGCCATCCACACTGGGCTGATGCTGCGCTTGCATTTCTGTGGCCCCAATGTCATCACTCATTTCTTCTGTGAGGTTCCTCCTCTGTTACTTCTATCCTGTAGCTCCACCTATGTGAACAGCATCATGATTGTCCTGGCTGATGCCTTTTATGGAATAATAAACTTCCTGATGACCATCGTGTCATATGGCTTTATCATCTCTAGCATCCTAAAGATGCGGACTGCAGAGGGGAAGAAGAAAGCCTTCTCCACCTGCTCTTCCCACCTCATTGTGGCATGCATGTATTACACTGCTGTCTTCTATGCCTACATAAGCCCTGTCTCCAGCTATAGTGCAGAGAAGAGCAAGTTGGCTGGTGTGCTGTACAGCATGTTGAGTCCTACTCTCAACCCCCTCATCTATACTTTGAGAAACAAGGATGTCAAAGCAGCCCTCGGGAAGCTTTTCCCCTTCTTCAGAAATTGATTTGTGTCTTTGGAAGCTCTTCTTGTAAACTGCAGTTTTAGCAGGAATTGACCTTTCTGTGAAGGGCCTGATAAGCAAATTTTTGGACTGGAAGGTAAGTAAACCTGTTGCTTCTACCCAGCAGAATGTCTACATGGATGAGCTTGGAATTCTGGTGCTCCAAGGCTGGCTGATGTGAGGATTGTGGTTGGACGTGAGCCTCTGTAACATGGGGTCCCAACGTCTGACTCCAAAGTAATGTCAGTGCTAAGTTGGCAAGGAAACAAAGCTCTCTAGAAGAAGGAAAGTTCTTGTGTTTTAGACTTACAGCTGTATGAAAATGTTTTCCTGTTTCCTTTTACTTTTGTACTTACAAAGTTCAATATGTAAATCCTGAAATCACACCTAGAATTTTGGTGTGTGGGCCTGAAAAGAGTTAGGAAGGACATGCGGACCTTACAGAACTTGGAGGATTGCCAGACTGAAGAATTGCTTTAAGGTGACCACTGGCCCCTAATGAACCTTCTACTCCCACTATCTTACCTCAAGTGTTTCCCCTTGAGCCACTTAAAATTCAAAAATAGTTCTGAATCTAACGAAAACGGTTGTTTCTGTTTTTTCTTTTCTTCTCACTAACACTCAAGGGAAAATGTATTATTAGGATCACCACTTTTTTTACTTGTTTTAACAGCCTTATTGAGGTATAACTGATATACAAAAATCTGCACATAGTTAATGTGTACAATTTGATGGCTATGGACATATGCAATCACCACTTTGTTTTGAATGTAGAAATTTCAGCTTTAACACTTGATGCATGGGCTGTGCCTCTAGACAGTGCCCGAGATTTCTATCCCCTCCTTTACTTTGTCCTCAGGCCATGAGGATCTGACTACCTCATTGACCTGGAGTGAGGATAACTGCTCTGATTTAGCTCTAAAATTTGCACAGCATTGTGAGAAGGCAATGCTACCCTCCCTCTGTTTCAGAATACATCTGTGTGGACAAATCCTCCATGTCTAATGAACACAGGTCTTGAAGTTGATTCTGTGCTGTTTGAAAACTAGACTGGAAAATCGATTCTCTTTATCATGATCCATTAAAGATGACAGAAGCAAGTTGTGAATGTTTAACTGAATCTTTGGGGTTGAGTATAAACATATTGTTTGCTGTTGAGATGGAAGCTGAGACTAGAGTTTGATATTGATTTGGAAGGGATGAATGGTCCATGGTTCTTCATTCAGTATTCTTATTATCATTCATCAGAAGCACATTGATTTTGGGTATGAAATTCAAGAATTTGATGAACCATAGGCTGACTGTGGTGTTGGCACATAGGTTGGTATGGACCAGATCTAGTCTTTTCTAACAGAATTTTGACACCCAAATAACTTGTTGAAGCCCCCAGTGGTCTCAGAGACTTCCCAATGAATATGGCTTTGAAAACTACCACTAATTAATCAATATGATTAACAGATTTTCAACATGCCAGGAAGAGCATATATTGTTACTATATTCCTCTTGGTTTCTTATAAATTTTATATTATCTACATTTTGTAATGGATTTTTTTTTTTTTTTGTGAGGAGGATCGGCCCTGAGCTAACATCTGCCAATCCTCCTCTTGTTGCTGAGGAAGACTGGCCCTGGGCTAACATCCACGCCCATCCTCCTCCACTTTATATGGGACGCCGCCACAGCATGGCTTGAGGAGCCGTGCGTTGGTGCGCGCTCAGGATCCCAACTGGCGAACCTCGGGCCACCACAGCGGAGCGCGCACACTTAACCACTTGTGCCACCGGGCCAGCCCTGTAATGGATTTTTTTAAAAAATTAAAAATACTTAGATGAATATTGAGTGTTTAAGAGAGCTTTACACATTTGACAAAACAGAAATATGAGACTTGATCTCTATTCTTAGAAAACTGGGAATCCAGTTAAAAAACATAGTACCCATGATGGTGAATATAAAGAGAAAAGGCATGAAGGGTGCTGCATTGCAGGATGTGGTGTCATGATATTGTGGATGCACAGAGATACGTGTAGTGCCTGAACTGGGGGTGGGAGGAGAAGATGTGGGTTCAAATTCAGACTCTTTCAGAGCACTCAACCCATTTGAGCTCTAGTTTCTTTCTAAGTATGATGAGGACAATAAATCAACCTAGAGATGCTACCAAGATTGAATGAGAGAACTGAAGACAGTGATATCAAGTGCTATGTAAGTTTAAGACATTACTATCTGTGAATGATCACTGAGGACAGGAGAAGCCAAGGAAGCCTGGATGTCACAGCCCCTCACCACTGCCTGGCTCAGGGTGCTGTTTGCGGTGGTTAGCTGGAAAGCGAAAGTTGGGGCCAAGTGGCGTGGGACCACAGAGAAAGGGAATGTTGTGGATTCGACTCCCTAAAATGACCTAGCAAGGAGAAGCAATTGGGATGGGTGAATGAGAAAGCATTCTGGTGGTCCCCAATGTAAAGTGGATCCTGTTTATCTCAGGAAGCTTCAGACTCATGAGTGACACCGTCTCTACTCAGGAAAGGCCACATAAGGGAGTTTCTGACAGAGATGGACTGTCAACCTTTCCCTAATCCTAGATTATCTCTTGGCTCCCAAAACCCCATCTTCTTTCAGGCCCAACACTTGTTTCCTGCTCTTCAAACTCCTACAGGGCCATTTTAGTTCTCAGATCACTTCTTCTTTTCCCTGTTCAGTTGAGCCCCATCTCAGGCTCTAACATCTTGTCCCTCTGAGCCCAATATGAGCAGCTGGTCCTTCTTTTTATGGCCCTCTTGGTCCAGGTAGAGCATCCCTCCCTGCTGGGGTGCCGCCTTTTTTTTTTTTTTTTAGGGTATCCAAGAGGTAGCTTGTAGCCTGCCTGAACATGGAGAGTTTTGCTTTTTTCAGGGGAAGATTCACCCTAAGCTAACATCTGTTGTCAATCTTCCTCTTTTTTCTTCCTTCCCTCCCCGCCAAAGCCTCAGTACATAGTTGTGTATAGTTGTAAATTCCTCTACTTCCTCCGTGTGAGCCGCCACCACAGCATTGCTACCGACAGGCGAGTGGCGGGGTTCCGCACACGGGAAGAGAACCCAGGCCGCAGAAGAGGAGCCTGAGGAACTTTAACCACTGGTCCATCAGGGCTGGCTCCGGGGTGCCGTCTTGCTTGGGGTTTTCCTTCTCATGAACAAATGCCTTCTTTTCCTTTAACTAACCTGACAACTGAGACTTTGTTTGTTTTGTGGCTCCTTTTGTGGGAACTGGCACCAATTTGCCTCCGTTAGCTGAGACAGAGAAGCAGCACTTGCTTCCTCATAATGTTATCTCTTAAAATTAGTCCTTGTGATTTAATGAAGACAACAACCCCATAGGCAGACAGCATTTTCTATGACTGGCTGACTATGACTTCACATTATCAATTCTTTGAAGAGCCACAGAGAGGAACTGATAGAACTTTCTCTTCACCCATTTACCTTCTTTTTGTCTTTGATAATGTATATCAGTCAAGGAAAGCACAACTTTTCTTCAAATGATTCTCCAACCACAGGCCTTACCCTTTTGGCCTCTCTGGCCCAAGCAGACCTCCTGGTAATGGTGGGAACAAGATTTGTCTGCCAGCACCAGCAGCCATACAATAAAGAATCTGGCTGATGCAGGTAAGTTATGGGCCTGTGGTGCATCCAGTTCCCTTTCTGTGGACACGGCTTCATGAACTGAAGTCTTAGCCACATTCCTGTCCTTTGGTCCTGGACAATGAGGTAGTTGTATGCCTGTGTTTTATATTGGTTTTCTTTTTTCTTCAGTTTAGGAGTTAATCCTTGGGTTTGTCAACCTCAACACTGCTGACATTTGGGCTGGGACATTGTTGTGGGAGCTGTCCTGTGCATTGTAGGATACTTAGCAGCATCCTTGGCCTCTACTGACTAGATGCCAGTAGGACCACCTGAGTGGTGACAACCAAGAATGTCTCCAGACATAGCCAAATCTGCTCAGGGGGAGCAAAATCATCCCTGGATGAGAACCACTGAACTACAACCAACCAGAGATGGCTTCACATTTGGAAGGATTTGTGGTTGTTGTTGTGCCACTTTTGCTACTATAACTAGTGGCTTCAGCTAACAGGAGAGCTTCTATATATCAAGTCTGGGACTAAGTACTGCCACGATTTGTCTCTAGTTTTCCAGTAACACTGCAAGAGGCTGGGTAATGTGTCCAAGTCACACAATGGGTGGGAGGTAGGGTAGGATTTGAATGGAAGCTCCGTGAATCCAGAGCATAAGCTCTTAACCACCAAGGTATATTATAGCCTGTCATGGACTCCATGACAGGTTGAGACAACAAGGGACTTTGTTAATAAGCAGTAACAAACTTTGTTAACAAAGCAGTAACCTCTGCAGCTCCTGCCCAACCTGACCAATGGGTCTGAAGTGCGATCTTTTTAAAATTGGTTTGAAAGTGTCACGTTGGCCTCAGCAGAGAACACATGATTTAGATCCTAACTAACTTTTGTTAGAGCTACTGAATTGATGCAATGATGTCTGCTACTTAATTAACAGAGATGGGAGACCTGAGCCACTTTCCTAGGTGTGGATTTCTTACACCTCCATCACCAACTGGGGTGAGCCCTGTAGCCTCCTCGGATGAAAGCTCTATCCAATAGTCAGGCACCACAGCTAGGTCCTACAGCTAGGGAGTGCTCCTGGAATTCTCTAGAAAAGCCTATGATTGATGAGGAGGGGGCTCTTGAGGACGTCTCTTTAACACTGGCCCTATGTCACATTCAAGGACCAAGTTGTGATTTGGTCTTGCTTTGTCCTTTTTTGGCCGTAAGCAGGCTTGGATTCCCCATACACGAGTCTGAACCTGTTGGTAGTATGATACTCAGCTGATCTGCCTTTGTATGTTCCCACATGCTGTCTTTTCCTCCTTAAACCCTTGTATTCAGACTATAGTAGACTAACTGGAAGAATGAGACCTATCAGAATGCTTCATTTTTCTGAATTATAATCAACAGATATGATTACATAGCACCATAAACGTGTACTTTTTAGGACCGAACTGTCATTCATGTTTCCTGTATT